GGGTAGGATTTACCTGAGCCGTCTCTGGCCCTTTCTTGCTAACCTGATGGTGTGGACAGCTCCTCAAGGGGTTGAGCATGTATTTATTTGCTTATATCTGGGCATTTGTGACTTTGTGGTCATCATTTGAGTCACCTGTGATTCCTACATCCAGTCAACATACTCAAAGGTTAATTGGTGCTTCTGGGGGAAAATTCTATGATTATTTTGAGACTGGTCATTTGATTTGCTTGCCTTCTTGCACCCTCCTCCCTCCACCTCCACAGGACATCTAGTCCCTGGGCTGGGACATAATGCTGTCTTTTTAGTGCTCCCTGTACTTCTTTCTGTCACTGCACTTACCTCCTTGTTTAGTCATGGTCTCTTTTTCCCTGAGGACAGGGAACTATGATTTCTATCTTTATTATCACCAGTACTGGGTACAAAGTCGGCCTTGAATAAATGTTTGTTAAACAGATGAACAAATGAATGAATGGATTAAACTCTAGCTCTGGAATGAAAACTTGGTTTATTAACACATTCAGCTTAAATAGAGAGTGCCAGCCATGTTTCTGAGAAATTTGTTATCAGCGGCAGCTCAGCTCCAGAGAAAACCAGGTTTTTAGTAAAAGGATTGAGGTGGGAACTAGGCTTTTGATGTGAGTCAACTTTGGTCTGTTCTCAACCTGCATTATCAAGCACTGAAAAGAACAGCAAAGAGACACCCAGAATCTTGCTCCATAACGATATATGTCTCTGGTAGAGATTTCACTTCATTAGTTCATTCGTTCATTCAACATTTGTCAGGTGCTAATGTGTATGCATCTAAACAAGAGAGCAAGAGGTTGATTATTTTTCCAGTGTGTTGTCCTTTTGTTTAATGGTTTACTCTGTTATTTTGAAAATGACACAACGAGGTGTCATCTCTTTAGAGTTTGAATGGATGTCATTTTCATTTCTTGGTCGCAGTCCTGTAGAGCAAGTAAAAAGTGGATGCAAATAGAAAGTTGTTTTCTCCCTAGCCTTCTTTGTGCATTGTCTAACACTGGATTGCACCACAAGGTGTAGTATAGACACCAGTGACTTTCTTACCTGGCTGTGTAAACACAGAGTCTTTCTATCACCTGCGCTGGATTTGCCAGTTTGGCTCAAATCAAAGTATTCCTAATTCCTGGATTTTACTCTGTGTTACAGGGGAAAAAACTGATACAATGCTCCCTCTAAGGAAATGTGTGATTTGTTTCTGATTATCTTTTCAGTACAGATTGTGTTGCCCCAACTTTAACAGGGGTATTATTAGGCCTTGCAGGATGTATTTTAAAACAGTCTTACTCCTCATTTTGTATTATTATTGCCTGATTTGTATTCAGCTATTTTTAAATTATTTCATTTTTCTATGTTGAATATATTCCTAAAAGGTATCTTACATTATTTCTGGAATAGGGCCCAGCATAAGCAAAAAAAATACACACAAAATATTTGTTGTCTTGCAAGGAAATGAAACAATAGAATGATTAGGACAAAATTACTTGGTTTGAAGTAAAATCTATTTTTTAGTTGCCCTTCATGTACTTTCTAACATTTCGAGAAAAATACAGTGCATTTCTGTGTTTTTAAGAAATTATTATTATTACAGTATAACATTTGTGTCTGAATAGTATTGGCATTTCAAATCTTACTAATTTTATTTAATTACATCTATTAAAATAACTTAGACTCCAAAAGCCTTTGCTTTATTTACTAATTTATTCATTTTTTAATAAACTAGTAGTAAATTTACTGGTGAAAATGGAAATCCTAACAGTTTCACAAAATATTGGTTTCCAGTTTACCAACAAATAATGTACATTTAATTTAGTTGGCTTATCTTGTAACTCTATACTAAAATTTAATTTTCTGTGGCTTCCTTTGGGGAGTAGAAATTCATTTTATCTCCTATCTTTCAAAATTATTTGGGCCAGGATAAATGGCTCATGCTTGTAATCCCAGCACTTTGGGAGGTTGAGGTGGGAGGATCACTTGAGGCTGAGACCAGCCTGGGCATCATAGTAAGACCACCATCTCTACAAAAATCTTTTTTAAGAAATTGAGAGATTTAAAAAAAATTCTTGGCTGGGCATGGTGGCTCATGCCTGTAATCCTAGCACTCTGGGAGGCCGAGGCGGGAGGATCGTTCAAGGTCAGGAGTTTGAGACCAGCCAGAGCAAGACCCCGTCTCTACTAAAAATAGAAAGAAATTAGCCGGATAACTAAAAATACATAGAAAAAATTAGCCGGGCATGGTGGCGCATGCCTGTAGTCCCAGCTACTCGGGAGGCTGAGGCAGGAGGATTGCTTGAGCCCAGGAGTTTGAGGTTGCTGTGAGCTAGGCTGATGCCACTGCACTCGAGCATGGGCAACAGAGTGAGACTCTGTCTCAAAAAAAAAAAAAAAAAAATTCTTATTGACAATGACTAATTCCCCTGCATGAAATTAAAACAAATACACACACACATACACACCCATACACAAGCACAGAGAAAAAACTGGAAAGAAATAGAGCACAAGATTAAAGATGGCTATCTCCATATGGTGGGATTGTAAGTGCTTTTAAAATCTTTATACTTTTCTGTAATCTCCAAATTTTCTAGGATAAGTCGCAATACTTCTGTTAGCAGGCAATGTTACCAATGAAATGTGATCTAAAATATTTTGTTCATGTATTCTAAGAGATTTACACAGCCTAATACATTAGAGATATCTTTTATATCTCAATCTCTGTAGGCTTTTGCAAATAACACTTTGCTGCCAAGTTTAGCTGGAGCAAAAAATTTTAATTTCTTTTTCATCGGTTACACTAAAGTCTATTTATATATGTTTTCAAAAGATGATCATTATAAATAAAATCTAAAATATATATAAACAAAATGAAAATAAAACTCATAATCCTGAGAGCAGGAATAAAAGAAGATAGTGGTTCATACTACTACTTTAAACTTTAGGTACATCAGTAATTTCTTTAATATTTACATCTACAAAAACCTGCACATTTAAAGTGTTTTCTTTTTCCTCAATTAATGCAATATTACTACATGACAACTTTATGGCTAGAAGAATTTAGTTTTTCGACCCACAAGAGGTCTACAGAAAAAAAAAGAGTTAGTTTTTTTGAAAAGGTTTTTATTCAAAACTGAGATTACCTAAAACAGACATATGGAAGAAAAGATGTTGATATATAAAATCTATAGCCTACCCCAACCCACTTTTGGTGTAGACAGATGCTCAAAATAAGATTTATCAATATTGTTATTTTAAGAAATTCAGTCCCTTAAATAAATCTAACTACCTTAAAATATGACATTGATAGTTTATCTTCCACTTGGAAACATTTTCATTCTTCATACATTTTTAAAGAAGCGGCATAAATTCCTTTATTACATGTGATAAATTATCATTTAGTAAGGTAAAGATAATTCGAAATAACATTGTGATATTAAACATGAGGCAACATGGTAAAAGATGTCATCCTATTATTCTGCTAATCTCAATTAGGGCCTTATTCAATATCTACAATGGACTTAGCATCCCAAAAGTAATTTTTAATGGATGTACAAAAACCAGATTTCACTTAGAGCTTGGTTGTGATGTACTGTTATGTGCTATTCTTTAGAGCTATATTGATACATATTAGTTCAATTAATTTAATATTTCTATCTCACTTGATAGAAACTAAAAGTTCATTCAATAAAAAGGAAGACCCTAAAGGCAAAATAAAAAAAGAAATAGAGAGAGACATTTAGCATAGAGATCCGAGTCTAGGAACCTCTTTCTTTTTCACAAAAATAGCAGGGGGAATAGCAAGAGTGAAAATTAAAAAAATAATAATAAAACTGAATCCTCAGTATTAACAAAATTCCTAGAAAGCAAGCTTTTCCCTAAAGGCAGGGGAAAAAAAAGATGGTTAATAGATTAACAGCAAGAACCACGCCTCCTTTCTCCCAGCAGCTCACCTTCCTGGAATACTCCGTGCTCCCACTCACTACTTTCCCTTGCATGCCTTTCTTGCACTTCCTCAGGTGGTTCTTGTAGAAAAACAACATGATTTGGGACTAAGTTGTGAATGGTGGGTAGTCTTAATCTCTCATTACACATTAGCACCATATTTGAAATTCAGTGTAAGGAATGTCCTCTGAAACTATATTTCAACCTCTCCCAAAGAACAGAGAACTGAGAACTAAGTCCCAGGAAGTTCAGGAGCTGCAGGGTTCAAGCACCGCCCCCAGCCCCCATGTGTTGATGGTCCTCTACCTCCAGCTCTCAACTCCACTTTCTGTTCTAAAGCAACCTTATCATTGGGCAGAGGATACTGTGCTGGGCTGTCTTTGCAGATTCAGCAACACCCCTCCCCCTCCCCCATATTATAGGAAGTGGAAAATACGTAATATTCTGTAATCTTTACTAGCTGGTTCCCTTTGTGATTCCCCAGTGAGAGACACCTCCCTGAGGTTTGTAAGGCAGGAAAGAAGAAGCCATTATTCATCTTTGGCAGGAGGAGGTGGATGTTCGGGCAGATGGTGGTTTCTTGCATTTCCTGCACTATAATGTGATGCTGTAGCAAATTCCAGAGTTCCTGTCAGTCTCTCACATTGGTGCTGTGGGCAGCAAAGATCACTGGTAGTGACTCTGTGGCTTCTTGAGATTCCTTCACTTCCGTATTTTCTGAAGGCCAGCAGGAGTGTTGATTTCCCTAGCTTTTCCAATGGCCTTGTAAACATCTAATCCCTTCCTGCTTTCATTTTCCTGATAGAACTCTGACTGACACTGATACTTTTGCTGATTTGCTCATTTTCTGGTGTTGGGCAAGTCGAGTTGTTTAATTTTCTGACCAAGAATGTAAACCAGTAATGCTCAGGATATGTTCTAAATTCATAATATAGCATATTTCTTGGTATTTCCTAGTCATTTTGTACACTTTTTTGAGACCTCCCAATCTTCCTCCCCCGAAAAAAAGACAACAAAATATATGAAAGTACCATCATTCATAGTTAAATTTTTTCATTTATTATATTTGTTATTGTTGTCATTGTGTCTTGGTTTATACCAGAATTGCGACAGAGGGTAATTAGTTTTAGAGAAAGTGAGGAAAGGTAGGAAGGTTGCTTTAATTTTTCCCAAATCTGGCTTGAGGGAAAATTCACACATCCTTCAAGTTTATGAAACAGGCGCTGAATCTTTATCAAACTGGCCAGCAGAATGAGGTCATCTCCACTGAGATATCGGAGGACTGGAATCTCCTCGGGGTTTGGTAGCTTTTCAGCAAAGAGAAAGAGAAGGGAAGCTCAGAGGCCAAGAGTGGAACTGGGGAGGTGGGAGGAGCCAAATCACGGCCCTAATTTCAGGTTAGATTCCCTATTGAAGGTCCAGTCTAGTTACCTGTAAGCAAGGGCAGTGACATTATTCTAATCCCGAAAAGGAAAGAGCTGAAATGCTGTGGAGACTCAGGAGACTGCGTGGAATTTGGGTACTTCCGAAAGCTTACAATTTATTCAGGTAATTTAACCAGTATCTACTGAGGAGAGTAGGAAGATCCTCTAACAGGGTCCCTTCCCTGGAAAGTGCCCAGTGGGGGAGGTGTGGTGAGCACGAAGGCTGGGTATCCATTGGAAGGCACGGAGGGGGCAGTTTTCCTCAGAGAAGGTAGGACCAGGATAACTAAAACAGCCTTTCCTTCTCCTAAATGTGCCCCTACTTCCAGGAGACTGTTCGGAATTAACCTCTCCATTACTCTTCCTTGGCCTCTGCTCTCCCCACTACCTCATAGCCTTTGAGGATTCTAAGCTGATACTGTCTCCTTGCAGCTTCAGAAAGCTGAATGGATCTGTTAGGACGGTCTTGCCTGAGGTGTTTCCAGTCTGTGCCTTCAGGGCCAGCCTAGGAGGGGTAGTTAGCCTCAGTGGGGTAGGTTAAATGCAAGCAGAACTACTACCTTCTGCAAGCAGAGTGACCACTTACCTGCAAAAGGTGCAAGAACTTGCAATATCCTTCTGCATTTCCACACCTCTTTCCATAGAAAGGAAAGGAGGAAGAAAAAAATATGAGATGCACAAATAACAAAGAAGGATCAAGATCTTTAACCTACACTTTAACACCAGATCCCATAACATGACAGAAAACTTTTCACAGATTAAATCAATGATGGTTCTAATGAGAAAGATTTCATCAGCAGGAATAATTTTAAGGAATTCTTAGAAATCAAAAAGCAGATGAGGCCTTATCTATAGGGAGATAAGTGACTAAATGAAACCAGTAATGCAAAACACACACATTCTGAGTTTAAAGTCAACAGAAGTGAGGAGGAGGAGGGACCCTGAAGTATACATTAGGGTGATCAACTGGGAGGCGGCCCCCTCAGCTTCCCCTTTGTGTTGAGCACTGGTGCCCACAGGCTGAGCACTGGGGGCAGGCGCTGGGGCAGCCTTCTACCCCTCAATAGCACGTACCACTTCTCTGCAGTGATGGAAAGCAAACTTTGGTAAGCAGAACAGGGAAACAGAAATTCTCAAATACAAAAATGAACACACAACTGAGAATCACCAAATACTTGAGGCCATGAAAGAGAGGCACCAGATTTACCTAGGAGAGAAACTAATACTTAAGAAAACACAATTAATAGACAGAGGAAGACTTTGGGATATATATAGTTATTATTTTCCGAGGGATTTGAGAGGATGTTTTTGTCAAGGAAAATAAACAACTAGAGGACTTGGAAGTTAATTCTTGCATATAGAAAAAAGGTATGTTAACAATTTTAGACTAACTATTAAAATACAGTATATTAAAAGGCTAAGTCTTTTAGGTTGAGGAAAGCAACAAAATCTAGCTATATATATATATGCTGTTTTCAAGAGACATATGTAACTCAAAACCACATAAAGAAAGTTGAAAATCAAAGGATTTGATCCTTTGATTTGTATCAAGCAAATGCTAATAGAAAGAAAGCAAGTATAGCAATTTAAAAGCAGATAGAACAGCATGTAAGGCAAAGGGCATTGAAAGGAAAACTGGAATAATATATGTTGATAATATTAAAATTCTTATTTTCAAAATAAAAACAAAACCCTCACTATTCCACTGAGTCACATAATGGGCATAGCTGAAGAGCAAATGAGTGAGGTTGAAGATTGAGTTGGCACGGGGCCAACGGTACAGCTCACCAAAAAGATAGTCAATGTCTTTAATTTCCTAACCACAGAGCTTCAAAATATATAAAGCAAAACTTCATAGAAATACTAGGAAAGATGGACAAATTAAGAGACTTAAGTACATTTCTCAGAAATAAACCAAGGATATAAAAAGAAAAGAATAGAGAGAGATGTATGAATAAAACAATTAGAATTTTATATCAAAAAAGGAAATTTGTATCAACAAACAATACACCTTTTTTGGTTAAATACACATGAAACACTCATAAAAATTAATTTAGAAAATATCAATATATTCTAAACAGTAGAAAAAAATACAAACCACAAGCCCTGATCATTTAGAAAATTAACAAGAAAAGAATAATAAATCTTTATATCTATTTGAAAATTCAATGACTACTGAGGTGAAGAGATCAAAATAGATATTACAAACTATTTAGAAGTGACAGGAAATAAGAGTACTACATATTAAAATTTGTGGTAAAGGAGCAAAGAAACACTTGGGGTGGAGTGGAGGTGGGGGTGGGTATTACTAGTTTAGATAGATTGGTCAGGATAGGACTCTGTGAGCAGAAACTTGAAGGAAGTGAGGGAATAGCCATATGTTAGTGGTGAAAGAACATTTAGGTTAAGGGAATAGCAAGCGCAAAGGCCCTGTGGCAGGAACATGCCTGGTATTTTCTAGCAATAACAAAAAGGCCAGTGTGGCTAGAGCAGAGTAAGTAAGAAAAGAATAATACAGAGAGACTATTAAAAGGAGGTCTAGAACATATACAGTAACTCGGGCTTTTTATAGAACCTTGGGTTTTACTATGAGTCAGATTAGATAGTTTTGACCAGAGTAAGGTTTTCAAAATATTACTCTAACTATTGTGCAACATAGCAAGACCATGTCTCTACAAAAAATAAAAACATTAGCTGAGTGTGGTGGTGTATGCCTGTCATCTCAGCAACTTGGGAGGCTGAAGCAAGAGGATGGCTTGAACTCAGGAGTTTGAGGTTGTCGTGAGCTATGATGATGCCACTGCAGTCTAATGTGGGCAAAAGAGAAAAACCCTGTCTCAAAAAAATTGATGAAACGAAGGTCCTCAAGATTGTAAGGAACTTGTTCAAAATCACACACTATATATATTATATATGCATATGGCTACACGCAAGTCTCTATTTATATCTGTCTCTACATCTATAGTAAGCTACTATTTACTGAATACTTATTCAGTGCCAAGTACCACGATTGGTACTTTGCATTCTCATTGAATCTTCACAGCAATCTGTAAGGTAGGAATCATTATCCCACTTTATAGACAAGGGACTGAAGTTTAAGTTCATTCACTTAGTCAAGTGGCAGAGCTGAGGTTTGAAACTACAGGCTGCAACCGGAAGTTCATGTTCTTAGCCATCGTGTATTGTTGTCAGTCACTGACAGTGTACTCTGGGCTGTGCCCTGGGCGAGGTACTGGGGATAGAAGAGTCATTAAAATAGGGAATCTACCCTTCAGGAGCTCACGGTCCAGAAAGAAATGCAGCCATGGGGGCAAGTAAGGCAGCATGGTTCATTCAGCAAGTGCAGGGACAGAGGCAAGAACGTGGAAAACCCAGCTAAGGACATGGTTGACGTTGATTAGCTGAAGGCCCAGGAGGTCTGGGAAGTGTCTCCAAAGAGACAGGGCTTATGCTCTGTCTTGAACGTGATTAGAACTCAGGTCTCCAACCCAGCCCAAGGCTTTCTACCATAGCAGAGAGAAGAACAAACACAATACTAAATTCCAAAACAAAACCCCCAAAGCAGCACTACTCAGTCACAGAGCAAACATTCAATAAGTGTTAGTTGGATCCAAATCTGAACTAAAAGGAATTTCAGAAGAAGAAGAAATAATAAGGCTGCCTCAATTCCATATGAAAATTTCACTATGTGTTTTTTTCATTGAATTCCAAAATTCTCAGTGGACAGTAGATTATGCACAAGTATAATCTATCAGTAATAACATTACCAAAAATTATTTTACTTATTATTCTAAATGCTTTAAACTGTTTTTAAAAATGTACCTACCTTCACTTTGGTTCCAACACTGATTCTTGCCTGTTGGCCCATTGCTAGAAAAGTGATAGAAATCTTGTCTTGTTCTAAGATGCGAACTCCAATATGATGGTTCAAAGCCAGAAAGACAGGTTTAAATGAAACAAATGGTGAGGAAGTGGTGGAACTTGACCAATTCCAAGCCCTTATTCTGTTGCCAGCTTGATCTGAATATTGACCTCCCAAGATATTGATGTATACCCTAGGCAGGAAGGAAATTAAAAAATAAACAGTAACGCTATAATCCAATGATGGAATTAGCCTTGTCACTTGCTAACCAAGGGGAGTAACAGTTTACGTTAGCCAATAGCATATGAGTGGTGGAAACTTCAGATAATCTTAGAAGTGATAATACTGTGACTGAATTCTACACTAATTTGAAGTACTGGGTCCAATTCGAGGCCATACTGATAAACTAAAATGATTCAAAGGATGGAACTGGGATGGTAAAGGGGTCTGGAAGGACGAAGAGGGAGCAGGGAAAGTTTAGTCTGGAAAAGAAGAGACACAGGAGAGTAGGCTATTCCTGAAAGAGGGGTAAGGCCAGTGCTCAGGTTTTCATCATGCCAAAGTGAAGACCCATGGGTGTAAATGCTGGGGAAGCCCAAGTTAACGTCAGTACGAGAAAGCTGTTTTCCAACAGTGTCCTCCAACTGGGAGCCACGTGTCCGTCTAGGAGGCCTCTCATCAGGGATGGGTGTGTGGGGGAGAGGCTCAGGAACACCCCTGAGACCCCTGTAGTAGAGAAGAGCTCTGTAAGGAGCAGAAGTGGAACAGAGACCAACCGGTCCTCCCCAATCTCTTAGCATCACCAATGCCCCTTTTTACTACATTACATTTAGCCCTGCACAGGCCGAGGCCCGGTGGCAATAATCACAGTGCCATTCTATTCAGCTATCTCCTTGTCATAGTCTCTCACCCTCTGCCATCTTGGATCACCATCCCCATCTTGAGGAAAGAAAATAGGTATAGTTCTGGGTACTTAGAAAATTGGCTTAATTTGATAATGAATTTAAAAAAAAAACTAGATGAATTGGCCATGAGGGCCCCCTATAGTAAGATAACTAACATCTCATTTCCCCAGTATTGGTTAGTGGTAGTAATCTAATATCACAAGTGCAAATGAGGAACTGAGGTGATCATTTTATTATATTCAGGAAGAGAGAGATTTAGTTTTACCTTGAAGGGTGGGTGAAAATCATATTTGGCTAAAATTATCTAGATAAATCAGTGCTGTGTTTATTTAATAAACATTCTCTGGGTCTATACCATGTAAGATACACTCCTATGTAGTGGCAAAGATTTAGGATGTGCCTTCAGGGAACGTCAGTCCAGCAGGGGAAATGGACTTGCTACATGAAAGCCAGATAGAAAGTCTATGAAAATATCAAGGAGCCATGCCAGAGTGCCCAGGAGTTCAGTTTGTGGGTCAGCGGATTCATAAAATCAATCTAGGAGAACCAATTGGTTTCCAGTTTAGAAACCAGTGAATATTGGTGACAATTAATATAGCACTTCACCAAATGAAACATAGAATTGCTACTGAATCCTGAAATGTAAGTAGAAATTTTCTAATGTACACAGTGAGAATGTATTGACTACTGCTTTGGACTGAAAACCCAAATAGCTCACTGTGTCCTAACTTTCTCAAGTACTGGCAGTATACAAACATTGCCATTATTGGCAGAGTTTCCCAAAATGAGATTGTTATACCTGTAAATAATGTAAAGGGGGAGAAGGAGATCTCTTCCTGAAAAGCTCAAAAAGTTTAAGTTGTATTTGAAATTAGAACCCAAATGTCACTTTTTCAGGTTAAATGAAATAATATAAAGTCACAGAGTATGTATATTAGTAGATCAAATTGGGATCAGGATAATTTATGTAGAGTTTTTTTTTTTTTTTTTTGAGACAGGGTCTTGCTCTCTTGCCCAGGCTGGAGTGCAGTGGCATTATCATAGCTCACTGCAACCTCAAATTTCTGGGCTCAAGGGATCCTCCTGCCTCAGCCTCATGAGTAGCTGGGACTACAGGCATGCACCACCATGCCCAGCCAATTTTTCTATTTTTCGTAGAGGTGGGGTCTCACTATGTTAGTCAGGCTGGTCTTGAATTCCTGGCTTCAAGCTATCCTCCCACCTTGGCCTCCCAAAGTGCTAGGATTACAGGAGTGAGCCACTGTGCCCTGCCTTCTTTAGAGATTTTGTTTGTATATTATTGTTGTTGGTTGTGGCTATAGGAAGCTTACTAGTTAGGACTGTATCTGAAACAGTAAAAACATAGTGTAGCAACTGTCCATTGACAAATTATTTCCATAGATGAAACAGCATAACATCACCAAGGCACAGGCTCTAAAGACTGCCTAGGTTCGTATGCCAAATCCCTAAAATTACCATATAGTTTATTAAGATTTTTTTTATATTGCAGTTATATAGTTCCTATTTTCTTACTGTTTATAGAAAGAATATACTGAGCTTTGTTTTATATAGTAGCTTGGGATTTTCCTGAGAAGCATATGGAATGGCATAAAGCAAAAATATCTCTGAGTTGAATGTTACTATCTAAAGACCATAAACTTAAATATATCTTCTTAAAGCCATTCATATAATTTTAAAAGAAAAATAAAATTTCATATGACCAAAAAATCAAAATGGCCACAGAAGGAACCTAGAAGCCTACCATACATTTCCGTTGGGGTGATAGCAGGAACTTCTGCCAGAGGAATCCAGCACTGCCAGGATGGCAGGGTTGGTGGGCACATCTTCTTGGACTATACATGTGAAACCATATGTCTTGCTGGGCACTCGGATGATGGCTAGGTTTCCAGATGGATAGCTGAGGTCAGATAAGGTCATGTAAGTTGTTCTAATGGTCCTTGACTATTCTGGAATAAACTTACTTTATGAGAGAGCCCTATGAAATCATAAAGCACTCCAAATATGGGAAGTACTATTATTACAAAATGATTTTATGCTTTTTATGTGGATCAAAATATATTTAGGAGATGCAAAAATCTCTAACAAGATATTAGCAAATGAAATCTGGCAATATATAAAAAGGATTATGTACCATGATGAAGTTGGGTTTATCCCAGGAATGCAAAGTTGGTTTGACATCTGAAAATCACTTAATGTAATATACCATATTAATAGAATAAAGAGTAAAAAACACATGGTTATCTCAATAGACACAGAAAAAACCATATGACAAACTTCAACATTTCTTCATAATAAAAAGACTCAATGTACTTCGAATAGAAGGGAATGTCTTCAACCTGATAAAGGGTATCTACAAAAAACCCATAGCTAAAATCATACTTAATGGTGAAAGACTGAATGCTTTCTCCCTAAGATCAGAAACTAAACAAAGATGTTATCTTACCACTTCTATTCAACATTGCACTGGAGGTTCTAGCCATGGAAAGTTGAGGAAAGGAAAAGAAATGAAAGGCATCCAGATTGGAAACAGAAGTAAAACTGTACCTATTCACAGATAACATGCTCTTGTATATAGAAAATCCTAAGGAAACCATAAAACAATGTATTAGAACTAATAAATGAGTTGAGCAGAGTTGTAGGCTATAAGATCAATGTACAAGCATAAATTGAATTTCTATACATTAACAGTGAACATCCTAAAAATCAAATTAAGAAAACAATGCCATTTTCAATAGCATCAAAAAGAATAAAATATACTAAGGATGATTCACTAAATGTTAATACTCAGTTTATATCTAGGCTGGCCAGAAGTCCAGAGATAAAGTAAACACAAAATTGATTCTAAGTCATTTTGAAAGCAGCCATAGCCTTCAAGAGAGTTAAGAAGAACTAAAGTCAGTGCATGAAATAATAACTAATAATAAAGGTTGGATAAGTTATTTTAAATTTACTAATATAATTAAAACCCTACACTCTGATAGGGCCTAGGAAACTAAAACTTCATTATGCTTCCTATGCCATGAAAGTCATTTTTCTGGTTTATTGTTGGTGTTTGACTGAATATTTAGGAAACTGTGACTAAAAATGACTTTCTTCTACAAATGGAGGGCTTCAGTTCATGAAAAAACCCTCCTCATTTTTTTTGCTTTTTGTTTTTACTTTCCTCAAAAAATTAAGTAGTCTGTATGTTGAAATATTAAGTAAATAGCCTGGCCATCAGGCAGAAGTCCAAGTGATTGATAAAAAAAAAAATGTTCCATGAAATGAATATTGAATTTTGGTATTAAAAAATTACATGCTACTCATGGGTGTGAAAACTGGTACACACTTTCTGGAGGGTGGGGGTTGGGGAGGATGCAAAATCTATCAAAGCTTTAAAATGTCCAAACGTCTCACCCAGAATTTCTAACCTTTGGTATTTAATGCAAAGAAATAAATAATAAATGCAACAAGGTATGCACAAAGTTGTTCATTTAGCTGTTGTGTATAATAGCAAAAATTGTGAAACCACCTTTGTTGAGTAATAGGGGATAGATTAAATGAATTATAGTGAAATACCATGTGGTTATAAAAATGGTGTCTCTATATTTATTGCATGTTATATATTTCTAACATTATGTGAAGGAGCCAGTAATGAAATATGAATAAATAGTTGGGGAATTGATTTTTAAAGAACTATATATATGCTCATAGACAGAAAAAAGTAAGGAAAAATATATTTTAAAATGCTAACAGCTTTTCTCTCAGTGGTAGAATTTGAGGGTAATTTTTTTCTTTATATTTTTCTGTATTTTCTTTATCTATCTTTTTTTGAAAAAATAAAACCAATAAAAATAATATGTTGAAAGAAAGGATACAATATTTGCGTTGTCCCATCTGGAAATGAAGTCAGAAACTTGCTCCCATGTTTGTAGTGCTTCTGTAAGAGCTCGTTTTGCACAATCTATACACCACAGAAAAGAAAACGCTTAACTGTGAATTGCTTCAGATAGAAAACAGTAAGTATGACAACAATGGATGTAGATTGATCGCTAGACAGTGAATTTTTGGCCCTGCTTCGATGCCAGGGGACAATCCTTAGCAATCATGTATAGATTGTCCCTAACCACTGCAGTATAACATGATAAAATCTTTCTGAAAAAATCTGACATTACATATATATTTGAAGTGAGATTTTTGTTTTTATTTTTAGTTTTTTACTTTATACACATATTACTATAAAATCAAAAGAAGATAAAAACCAGCCCCAGCACACACATTCTATGTCCTGGAGTGTTGGTACAACACTGTTTAACTCTGTTAAAATTCTTAGAACTGAACATCTAAAAAGGATAAACATTACTAAATGTAAATTTTACTTCAATGAATTTGACATAAAAGAGAAAAAAACTCCAGGATAAGCTGCAGCAGCTGATGTCTCTTCAAGGTTACTCTTGAAGTTCATTTGAGCACCACACTTGTGGAGTATGGGAAGGTGAAGACACACATACAGGGAAATATTCCTTATTATATCTACAAGTTCAACTATTTTATATGTAAAGTTCAATAGGGAAATGAATTTTTACCCTACAATATTTTATAATAAACTGAAGACTCAATTTAATTCTATTTATTACTAATCTTTTTTTTTTTTTTTTTTCTTTTTGTGAGACAGAGTCTCCCTCTCTTGCCTGGGCTAGAGTGCCGTGGCGTCAGCCTAGCTCACAGCAACCTCAAACTCCTGGGCTCAAGAAATCCTTCTGCCTCAGCCTCCCGAGTAGCTGGGACTACAGGCATGCGCCACCATGCCCGGCTAATTTTTTCTATATATAGTTTTAGTTGTCCAGCTAATTTCTTTCTATTTGTAGTAGAGACGGGGTCTCGCTCTTGCTCAGGCTGGTCTCGAACTCCTGAGCTCAAAAGGTTCACCTGCCTCGGCATCCCAGAGTGCTAGGATTACAGGCATGAGCCACCATGCCCAGCCTCTAATTCTGAATTGAACTAAAAAAGATACAGGAATTCCTAGGGCTAAATAATGAAATGATCTAAATGTTCATGTAAATGTTGCCATTTATTTTGAAAGCTAATACATATTTTTACTTTTAAAAATTATGAAATACGGAATACATTTAGATAGCTCTAAAACATGCTATTTCCTTAATGAGTAATTATAAAGCAAACACGCATGTAATCACCATCCAGGTCAAGAAATCAAAAAATGCTGACACTCTAGAAGCCCCTGTCCCAATGTGTCCATCCCAATGTCAACACCCTTCCTTCCGAGATGTAACCACTAGTCTGATTTCATAGTAATTTCTTTGCTTTTCTTTGCACGTTTATCATTTATAAACATTATAGTTTAATTCTTCCACTTCTGAATTTTGCATAAATGAAATCATACATTATATGTGTTTACGTTTTGTTTCTTTCTGTCAACATTATGGTTTTTTTTTGGTTTTTTTTGAGACATAATCTCACTGTGTTGCCCGGGCTAGAGTGCCATGGCATCATCCTAGTTCACAGCAACCTCAAACTCCTGGGCTCAAGCAATCCTTTTGCCTCAGCCTCCCGGGTAGCTGGGACTGCAGGCATGTGCCACGATGCCCGGCTAATTTTTTCTATGTATTTTTAGTTGTCCAATTAATTTCTTTCTATTTTTTGTAGAGACGGGGTCTTGCTCTTGCTCAGGCTGGTTTCGAACTCCTGAGCTCAAACAATCCGCTCGCCTCGGCCTCCCAGAGAGCTAGGATTACAGGCGTGAGCCACCGCGCCCGGCAACATTATGTTTTTAAGATTCATACATGTCTTAGTATGTAGCCGTAGTGCAATAATTTTCATGTGTGTATAGTATTCCATTATATGAATTTATCATTCATTTATTTATTCTATTGTTAATGGAAATTTGGGTTGTTACCAGTTTTGGGCTATTACAAACAATGATACTATGAACATTCTTATACATGTATGCTGGTACCAGGTTCCTCTAGGATATTACACCCAGAGGTGGAATTGCTGGATCCCCAGGTATACTTATTTTCCACTTTACTAGATAATGCCAAAATGATTTCCAAGTTGTGCCAATTCACACTTCCACTAGCGGCAAACAATAGCTAATGTTGCTCTGTATCCTTTCTAAAACTCAGTACTATCACATTTTACATTTTTTAACAATATGGTTGGTATGTACTGATTTCTGGTTGTGGTTTGAATTTCATTTTTCAGGTTGCTAATGAGGTTGAGCACCTTTTAATATGTTTGTTGAACATTTGAATTTTCCCCTTTGAGAAGCATCTGTTCAAATTTTGGGGGGTCCATTTTTCTGTTAGGTTGCCATTTTTTTCATGTTGACTTATAAAAATTTTAATTTATCAAATCCTTTAAGACTACTGCTTTTTTCCATCTATTACTGAATCTTTCCCTAACCCAAGATCATATAGCCATCTGCCTATTAATATATTTAAAAAATCTTTATAGTTTTGCATTTCCCATTTAGGTCTTTAGTCCACTTGAAATTGATTTTTACATATGGTGTGAAGTAATGGTTCCAATGTTATTTAAAAAAAATATGGATGGATCCCCAATTGCCTCCGCACTATGTATTAAAAAGATTATCCTTTCTCCATTATTGTGCAGTGCCACTGCTGTCATAAATCAGATATGCATAAGTCTGATTCTAGACTCTTTATTCTGCACATGGATTTCTTTGTTTATCCTGCCCCAGACTATATTTTGTAATAGATCTTAATATCTGATAGAGCATGTTCTCCTCTCCCCAGCCTGTTCCTTCGTCAAGAGTGTTTTGGCTATTCTAGGTTCTTTACATTTCCACATAAATTTTAGAATCAACTTATTGAGACTTCCCTTCCTGGGTAGGGGGAGGAGGAGAAAAAAAAGACTTCCCTTCCCCCAACACACACAAATTAACAATCTTGTTAGGATTTGATTGAGACTGTATACATCAATAGCTCACTTTGGGAAGAATGTCATCTTTAAAATATTTACTCTTCCAATCCAGGAACATTAGATCAACTTTGTTAAATGGATTATTCAAATGTTCTATAGTATTACTGCACTTTTTTTGTCTTGTCCTCTCAATTATTGAAAGAGATAGGCTAAAGTATCTCACTGTGATTATGGATTTCTTTATTTTTCCTTTTACTTCTCTGAAATTTTGCTTTATATATTTTTGAGACTGTGTTAATATGGGAAAAATATTTTGTATTGTTATATCTTGCTGGTAGATTGAAATTTTATCATTAAAAACTGGTCCTTTTAACTAATACCTCTAGTAATGCTTTTTAACTGATACAAGTAAAAGATATAAATATAATCTTTTAGTTAGTATTTTTATGATATATCACTTTTATTTATATTTAACATTTATATCTTTATTTATCTTTCTATGTCATATTTAGATATGTTTCCTGTAAACAGTATGTAGTAGAAATAGTTTCTTTTTTTAAAAAAGTCCAATCTGATAGTCTTTGTCTATTAACTGTGTATTTATATGTAAGTAGTGACATTCCTTGATGCTTTCTACTTGCTTCCCTGTTATGTGTTTTTTCCCTTATCCTTGTCATTTGGAGGTATTTAAAACAAATCATTCTATTTTTTGTTCCACCTGTACTAGCTTGGAAGTTATACTCTCTGTTTCTACTATTTTTCTGGCTGTCCTAGAAATTTCAACAAGCAAAATTAATTTATCAAAGTCTTAAATTAATCGATTTATTTGCCCTTCTCCTGAACCAAGGACTTTAGAACACTATAATTGCATTTAGCCTTCTTTCCAACTTATGTCCTATTGTTGTCATGCATTTTTATTCTATTCGTTCTTTTGAAACTACACAAACTGCTATCATTATTGTTTTACCAGCCCACTTTCAGTTTTATTCATATATACCATATCTGGATATACAGTATGTATGCTCTTCACTTTTCTTGCTCTTCATTTTTCTTGAATCACAGACTATCTAATTACCAAAGAATAGTCCTAATAATTTCCTTTAATGAAGGGCTACTGGGGACAGACTCTGTTTTTGTCAAAAAATGTCTTTTCTGACATTTTCTGACAAAACATCTTTCTTGAAAGATATTTTAAGCAGGTGTAGAATTCTAGATTGGCTATTATTTTCTTTCACCCCACTGAAGACATTTATACTGTCTTTGAGCATCTATTGTTGCTGTTGGGAGGTAATCTGCTAGTTTCTCCTTTAAATGTAAACTGAACTTTTATTTCTCCATTGCTTTTAAGATTTTTTGGTCTTTGGTTTTCTGTAGTTTCATTATGATGTATCTAGGATTTTTTTCCCCATACTGCTTGGGATTCAACGGAATTCTTAAATTTGGAGATTGGCTCTTTTATTAGTTTTAGAAAACTGTCATTCATTGTCTCTTTAAATATTACCTCTGCCTGATTATCTTTTTCCTTTTTTTCTGGGATTTTATATAAATTGCATTTCAGACCTTAGACATTTCATTTTATTTTTGTATCATACACTCTCTTCTGTATTTCTTACTCTTTCTTTTCTTTTGTCACCATAGTGAATTTTTCCCCCCTTTTTCAGGGCATTAGTTTTCTCTTTAGTTGAGTCTAAACTGCTTTTTAACTCTCATCTTTTACATTTTTAATTTTAGTTGTATTTTTCATTTCTGTAAGTTCATTTTTTTCTTTTAAAATCTGCTGTCACTTTACAGTTTTTGCTTTCCTCCGTATATCTTCAAGCTGATCTTTTATTTTCATAAACACAGTTAGATTACTTCATTTTCCAAAGTCTTTCCAGGGCTCTTCTTATTGGATTATTCCTCTGGGTTTTTAATTGTAGTGTCAAGTTTTCTTGTGTTCTTGGTTATTTTTCACTGTGTACTGCTAATTGAACTTGAAAAATAATTTATAGGAGTAATTTGAAGGTCGAATGAGTGACCTTCCTCCAGAGAGGATTTGGATTTGCTTCTGTCAGGCATCTGGGTTTGCTGCCACCCCTTAAATTCTGTGCCACCCAAGAGAAACAAACTAGGCCTCAGTAATTTAATCTTGGGGAATCTATTTTGAGGAACTATACTTATATAGAAATGAACTTACACACAAAGATATTCAAAGAATATATATGCTATTAAGTACAGCAAAAAAATTGTTAATAACCTATATGTCCAAGAACGCATGAATGGTTAAATAAGCTATATGAAAAGCTACATCACTATTAAAATAATGTTAATGTAAACTATATAATATTATGGACAATTTCTTTTTACTATTAGGTTAAAAAGAGATAAAAATTACATATATGATACAATTATAAGTATATTAATAAAAACTTATGCAAAAAAAGTCTAAAACAGTGCTAATAGAACTTTTGATTATAATAAAAATGTTCTATATGTCTTCACTGCAGTATGGTAGCTACTAGTCACATGCAGCTATCTAGGACTTGAGGTATGGCTAGTGCAACTGAGGAATTACATTTTTAATTTTATTTAATTTTAATGAATTTAAATTTAAACGGTCATATACAGTATTGCCACCATATTTGGTGGTACAAGTCTAGAAAATATCAAAATATTAGTGTTTAGGGGGAAGTGGTTGGGACTTTTGGTAATCTTCTCCTCTTCTTTTTAATTTTCTAAGGGTTTCAAATGTTCTTTAATGTTTAACCAAAACATAAGACATTGTTACATAGTCTAGTAGAAGTTAAAAGGCCAATTCTGCACCAATTTTTTTTGACAAATTGTTAAATATGTCATGTAGCCAAACTTCATGAGAGCTTTTAGAATTTCAGTTAAAACTGATTTTCTAACTAAGTCTAGAATTTAATTATGCTAGCAATAACAAAAGCCTTTAATATGCTAAAAAATTCCCCAATATATTCTCCCCTTCTATCAAAATAAGTACCATAAAACAAATGAATTGTTATTAGAAATGTTCCTTATGGAGCAAAAATGTAAATTATCTCTCATGGTCCTACTTCTGTGGGTCATGTGTATTGGTTAGTGTTAATGGAAACAGAAATAAAAATAATTATTTTAATTTTAGCATGTAATTTGTATTTTTTTTCAATAACCCCTTTATTTGTACATACGAAAGCTTCCAAGTGAAGTAAATGTTTGGAGATTTTCAAGAAATGTCCCATTTAAGCTCTTCCAATATCTGTTAGAAGTAGAATACCCTAAGGTTAAAAAAATCATGTTCCACATTTGTAATTTGATTATGGTTTGAAAATAAATTTGTGGCTAACTATAAATGATTTCACTTATTAAATTATAAGATGTAGTTTATTAACTGTGCAGATGCATAATTTTTAGAGCTGCATACTATAGAAGATAAAGTTTAATTTTTCTTTTGTCTCTCCAAATTGTCTCGTTTGTATCTTATTTCATTTGGAGACTTCCGTTGTTTTTCAAAGCCGAGAGGCATGTTAAAATGGTTATTGAAGGATGATCTCTAGTAGGATTCCATTTTCAACCAAACAAAGTTTTTCATAAAACATAAGATTCAGAATCTCAATTGATTTTCCTATTTAGCATATAGAAAGTCATGGCATGAAATTTACTTTTATTTAAAATCTAACATTCTTTATATGTTTTCTATCATTTGCCTAATAATTAATGAACTATATTGGAATACCTTGAAATGTTTCTGTGTTTTATTCTTGAATTCACTTACTCTTATGTGATTTTTTTCCTGAAATGTTTGTGTGTTTCTGCTAATTAAAATTCTGGCTGTAAAATCATTATATGCTTATTTCAGGGATTTAAAAAATGCATAAAATAAAAGTGATTCTCATCATCAAAAAAAAACTGATTTTCTAAAAATAGTCACATGTACTCACCATTAAATTGGTACTAATCAATCAAAACTTATGTTTACATATGGAAGTAACATTCATTGAGTGTCAGGCAGGTGGGAGAGGGGAGAAGAGGATGGGTAAACTCACACCTAACAGGTGTGGTGCACACTGTCTGGGAGATGGGCATGCTTGTAGCTCTGACTTGGATGGTGCAAAGGCAATTTATGCAACCAAAGCATTTGTACCCCCACAATATTCTGAAATAAAAAATAAATAAATAAATAATATATTGGCTTAATCTTAATTATTCTAAAATTACTTACTATGATTTCTCATTGCAATTACTTGACCAAGATGCAAAAATATCGATTCAAAATTAATATCAATTAAAATTATCAATGTTTTTAAAAAATAACAAGTAAAAAAAATTACAAGTTAATTACCTTTCCACATGCTATCCTAGAATCACAACAAACAATGGACATGTTACTGTTGGTTAGTTGAAAATCAAATGGTATGTCATTAGGTGTCTCTGTTTGGGGAATATCCACGGAAAGTTGATAAGAAATCGTTTTTAAGTGCTTTGAATCTAATGGGAAAAGAGTCACATGAAAGTAAATACATGTTTTAAATTTTCTAGAACCTCCCTTCTAAAATAAAATTTCAAACCCCATTTTAAATGCATTGATTCATAAGACTTTTTTAAAAGGAAGAAAAATGTCAACCTTCATTATGTTAGGGAAGGACTCTTTGTTAAAAAATGAGAACATTACTTTGTTAAAGAAGAAAAATGGCAATTGTCATTAGTGGAATTTTCTGGCCTTTAGTTCTAGTAGGAAACAGTTGAATATCAAGAAACTTTACATTAGAGATTTAGTTACAAAAATGAAATAAAAATATATCATCTCTAAGTATCTTTTCAATAGCTCTGAGTGGTAGAGGAGGAGTCTGATGCTCAGAAAGATTAAGTAATTAACCCGAAATCAGACCGCCTGTAAGGAGAAAAGCAAGGATATAAATCCAGGACTTCTGATTCTAAAATCAGGGCTCCTTCAACTGTACCAGACTACAGCTATACTGGTCAACTGACCAACACAGAGTACTATACGAAGACTGTAATCTGATTTATTTTTGACAGATTTTCTGTACCCACACTTGAAAACAAAATGGAAAGTGTGCTTAATAAAACAAGAGACAATGAATTCGAAAGCTCTTTGCAGCTATCTGTAAAGCGCTCTATAGATGTTGCTAATTTATTTCACAATAATAACAATGAGATGAAGACTAAGACCTCCAAAAGCCAGATGGCTGGAAACACCAGACTTTCTGTGCCATTTTGACTGATGCAGGCTTTACTGTACTTAGAGATAAAATTTTTCAATATTATTTTTTTAAATACACGAATATTATCTCTAACAAATATCTGAGCTTTCTTATGTTGTACAGCTGGTCTATAATATCAGCATTGATAAACTCACCTTCTTCAGAGAAATGAGACTGTTCATTCGATATTATTGCAAAATGTCTGGCCATTTGTCGCCCCTGTTTTCTACAAAATCAAAAAATATCATGCATAAATCTGAAATGTGGTCAAAGCTTAAAACAGTATACTATACATTTCAACTGCTTAAATGCCATCTCTTGTCAGTTTTAGCTGTTATTGTGAATCCATTCTATTTACTCAGAGCACATGGGTATCTACTCTGTTTACTGAACACATTTCTCCAACATAAGAATTCTGAATTGTCCAGATAATTTAGGATTGATAAATTTCTACTTTAAATCAGTGAGTTCAATGAGTTTACTGAGTTTCTGGGACCTTTTGAATCTCATGACACCCACCAGGAATTGTAATAGGTTTGCTTCGGCCAATTTTTATTTCTTCACGGGGGCACATCTTTAAAATTATGTATTTTGAAAAAACAAGGTTAATTTTAGAAAAAGCTCTCCAATTAAGTTGGCCTATCAGAGTTGACTATCAAAGGCTCAGTGTTACCTCTCCAGGGCTTTTTCCTTTGCCTTGAGTCTATCAACTTCATTGCCGTGGGCTGCATGAGGTTTAATACTGATTAATTCAGCTTTAGAGCTTTTGATATTTTTTTCTTCTTCATAGATATAGTCAATCAGATTTTGGAAAGGCATACAACAGCAGGCCTGAAAAAGAGAGAGGTAATTTTCATCTCATCAGTCCTTGATGAAGATGATTAGAGGGGACAAAAATGACTAATGGGATTTCAGTGATAATTTATCATGATTCTTTTTTTCCTGGTAACAGCTTTATTAAGATATAATTCACATGCCGTATAATACACTCACTTAAAAGGAACAATTCATTGGTTTTTAGTGTATTCGCATAGTTGCACAACCATCACCACAATCAATTTTAGAACATGAAACACTACCCATTAACAGTTACTTCCCATCCTCCCTTCCTCCCAGCCCCTGGCAACCACTAATCTGCTTTCCCTCTCTCTAGATTTGCCTGTTCTGTGCAGTTTATATAAATGGAACCATACAACATGTGGTTCTTTATGACCAGCTTCTCTCACTTGGCATAATGTTTTCAGGACTTATCCATATTCTAGCATGTTTTAGTGCTTCGTATTTCTTTTTATGGCTGAATAATATTTCACTGTATGGATATACCACATTTTATTTATTCATTCATCAGTTGATGGACAGTTGAATTGTTTCCACTTTTTGGCTATTATGACTCATGCTATGAACATTTGGGTGCAAGTTTTTGTGTGGACATATGTTGCCAATTTTCCTGGGTATAAACCTAGGAATGGAATTTCTGGGTCATATGGTAATTGTATGTTTAACTTTTCAAGGAACTGCCGGGCTGTTTTCCAAAGTGACTGCACCATTTTATTTTCCCCCTCAGCAGTGTATGTGGGTTCTAATTTCTCTGCATCTTTGTCAACACTTGTTATTATCTGTCTTTTTAATTATACTCATTCACATAGTGGATGTAAAGTGGTATCCTATTGTAGCTGTGATTTGCACTTCCCTGACATCTAACACACAACTCTTTTGAGAATGGCAATGCAGGGGAAAGATACAGGAGAAAATACTACATTTGTTTAAAAATAGTGTTTAAAAATAAAGAACACTATTTCCTCTGCAAACTTGCTTTAGAACTTACAGGTGCTATTGGTTCAGAGTCACAGCAAATGTCCACATTGGAAAAAAATGCTCTTAGATCACCTCCACAAAATTCACACTCAGGTGGTATCTCTTCCTCTTCATCCTTCAGAGAGAGACAATAAAATGAAGACCTGCCCACAAGGAGACCCAGAGGCTCTGAGGGCAGCCTCTATGTAAATGGTGTGAGGTGCTTGAATATCATTAACTCTTTCAAGAAATGCCAGGTAAAAAAAAGCCTTGACATTACTGTGCAGGCCACCATGTACAATTACCTACTTTCTGAAATAAACAAAAGTTCTTTCTCAAGAGGACCCCTGTGTTGGAGCTCTAAAATCTGTCTGTGCTGTGAAGGTAATTCAGGAGAGGGGGGAAACAAAGGGGAGAGGCAGAGTTAGGGGCTCAGGAGACTCAGCGAGGAGCTGATATGCTGTGGCCATGTCAGTGACCTGAGGTCACGTCTGTGCTGGCACAGGCTGCTAAGCAGATGAGCAGCCAAGCCTCAGCACAAGCCTCCAGGAAAAGACCCAGATCATGACTTGCAGATCATGAACACCACCGGGGCTTTGGTATTTGCCATGGAAACCATCCTCTGAGACTGGTAAAAGTGCCCAGCCTGGGGTTAAAGGGTGACTGAGGTGGGCAGTGCAGGAGGGATTGACCCCCCACAGAGTAACGTTCAACATCTTTAGGTCACTGAAACTACCCGATAGGAAGCGCTGCACAGTGCTGAAAGCAAGGATGCTTGGAGAGTGAAGGCTTGCAATAGAGAGATGATGCAGGAAAATCCAGGACAACTGTCAAATGATGGAGCAGGGTAGAAAAGGAGCTTGGCAATACCAGGCCATCCACAACCTGTTCTATACAAGGGACTTGGTAGTGAACTCAGCCCATGGTCCCTTCACCCTTCACCTGGGGATGAAGCAAGAGGTACTACTTCAAAAGACCATGAGTGTTGTTGGGAACTGCACCTGAAGAAGTGGCTGGAGAGGAGAGCTGGGAAAGCTCTGAACTAGACGAGTGTCAACACTAGACCTGAAAGGTCTGCTGAGGAGCAGAAGGAGCCAGCCTTGTGCAGGTGTCAGTTCAGGGACATCTCCCTGGAGGAGAGGCCACAAGGCCTTGTCATGTTCAGGCCCATCTCTGGGTGTCACGGGAAAAGAGTATAACCCCAGATCAAAAGACTTCCCTGGATACAAGCCTTTGTGGTTCAGAAAAAGAAAGGTACTATGTTTAAATAAAGGATTTCAGCCTAGGGCCGGGCACAGTGGCTCACGCCTGTAATCCTAGCTTTCCGCGAGGCCGAGGCGGGCGGATTGTTTGAGCTCAGGAGTTCAAAACCAGCCTCAGAAAAAGAAAGGTACTATGTTTAAATAAAGGATTTCAGCCTAGGGCCGGGCACAGTGGCTCACGCCTGTAATCCTAGCTTTCCGCGAGGCCGAGGCGGGCGGATTGTTTGAGCTCAGGAGTTCAAAACCAGCCTGAGCAAGAGCGAGACCCCGTCTCTACTAAAAATAGAAAGAAATTAATCGGACAACTAAAAATACATAGAAAAAATTAGCCAGGCATGGTGGCGCATGCCTGTAGTCCCAGTGAGGCAGAAGGATCGCTTGAGCCCAGGAGTTTGAGGTTGCTGTGAGCTAGGATGACGTCACGGCACTCTAGCCCGGGCAACACAGTGAGACTCTGTCTCAAAAAAAAAAAAAAAAAAAAGAATTTCAGCCTAAAGAGTCTACAGAGTGGCCATAAAGTTTAGAAACCTGGGTAAATATAAACAGTAAATGTTTATATATATCATATTACCTGATATATTTAATGTGTTGCCCTTCATTAATATTGCTTAGTTCAATGTGCTGTACAAGATGGCAATGAACGCCACATCAATGCAGCCACACAGCATAGCCATCAATCCCTACGCATGTGTCCATGAGGCTCTGCCTCACATGATTGGCGTCTCTTATTGTCAGTGAATACACCTGCACCTTTATCATACCCAGAAGAAGTCATCAAGAGGGTTCAGATCTGGGCAGCAGGCAGTTCTCTCCATATGGCCACAGCATCCAATCCACGTTTGAAAATAATCATTCCACCACACTGGTGTAGTGGGGTGGTGAGCCATCCTGTTGGAATTACTGAGGTAACCTGCATTAATTGGTTACTTAACATGATCAAATATGGCAGACGTTCTCCTGTGTTTCCAGGCTTTGTAGCCATTGTTACAGGTTGAATTTTGTCCCCACAAAAGATATGCTGGAGTCCTAACTCCTGGTACCTGTGAACATGGACTTTATTTAGAAACGCAGTCTTTGCAGAAGTAATCAAGTCAAGATGATGTCATTAAAGCGGGCCCTAATGCAATATGACTTTGAAAATCCTCCTTAGAAAAAAGGGCCATTTGGGCAGAGAGAGAGGGAGAATGCCGTGGTGGGCGAGGCAGAGACTGGAGTGATGCAGCTGCAAGTCAAGGAATGCCAAGGCCTGCTGCCCACCACCAAAAGCCAGGAAGAGGCAAGGAAGGATTCTTCCCTTCAGATCGGCCTTGTCAATACCTTGACTGCAAACCTCTAGCCTTCGGAACTATGAGACAATAACTTTCTGTTGTTTAAAGCTGCCTGGTTCGTGGTGCTTTGTTATAGCAGCCCTAAGAAACTAGCACGGCCATCGTAAGTGCTGTTCTAAGTCATTGAGCTCTTTGGCTTTTTTTTTCTTTTAAGGTATATTCACTGTCTATTGTACAAATCATTATGTGGCTTTTTATGTTATTTTTACAGTAATAATAAAAATATAAATTAAAATCACCTTGAAGTTAGTGTCTAAATTGGAACTCTCTTCTTTGTAGGCCAGAATGGCTGGTGGCCCGACGCTAGGTAATGTTCTTAGAGAAGGCTCAAATAGCGTTACGAAGTCTTCCTTGAACTAAATTTTTAAAAAAAGAAAGTTGAACACTGAATAAGCTATTTTTACCATGAGAACAGTGTACTATTTGGTATGACAAACATTTCTTACCTCCAACTCATATAAAATACTTAGTTTTGGCTCTTCTGGATTAATTATCCATTTTTCTGAAGAGAAAGGATAGATTTAGAATGAAAGAAAACTTTGTGCAGTGCATCCCACTTTCTCTAGGTAGAGGTTCTCTCCTGACCCCATCCTCCCAGCCCATAACACATACGCTATCTATTAATAATTGCCCTGACCCTGCATTTTCACCACGTTCCTGCACGTATTCTTAGGGGACTGCTCTCCTAAAGGGAGTGGGCATTGCGCAAGTTATAGTTGGTTCTCTATCGGTAGTTTGCCTTTGCCATCCAAAGGGGACAATGTCGAACCTCTATTTACCTCTTAACTTAGATGCTAGACATTCGGGTTCACCTTTCTTCTCCGCAGAGGCTGTTTTACTCTCTGTAAAAAGAGTGTGCATTTGTCATCAATCTGGCAAAGTAGAAAAGAAGTTGAATGTAAAAGAAAATATTGTAACCAGCCCCATGAACAAACACAGGATGAACCTCCAAACATATTTTCTCTGAAGCTTTTTTATGCTTTGGTTTCCCAGGCCAGTAAGGCTTGACAACCAGAACCCTGTAACTTTTAACTAAATACTTGACCTTTTGAGTTGTTTCCCAGAAATGGCGGAATTTCCGTAAGATAAAGGAGTTAAGACTTTTGGGGACTGTTGGGAAGGGATGATTGTAGTTTGCAATGTGAGAAGGACATGATATTTGGGGGGCCGAGGACAGAATGATACAGTTTGGATGCTTGTCCCCTCTAAATCTCATGTAGAAATTGCATCTCCAGTGTTGAATGTGGGGCCTGCTGGGAGGTGTTCGTTTCATGGAGGCGGATCCCTCACGAAGGGCTTTCCCCACGGTAACGAGTGAGTGCTCGCTCTAATAGTTCACGTGAGAGCAGGTGGTTTAAAAGAGAGCGGCACCTCCCCCCTTGCTCACGTGCTTTCCCTCAACATGTGACACACCTGCTCCCCCTTCACCTTCCACTTTGATTGGAAGCTCCCTGAAGCCCTCACCAGAAGCAGATGCTGGAGCCATGTTTCTTGTACGGCCTGCAGAACTGTGAGCCAAATAATCCTCTTTTCTTTATAAATTACCTTTATAATGAGGCTTCAGGTATTCCTTTATAGCAGTGCAAAATGGACTAAGCAAGAGTGGGGTGTTGCTATAAAGATACCCGAAAATGTGGCAGTGGCTTTAGGACTAGGTAACAGGCAGAGGTTGGAAGAGTTTGGAGGGCTCAGAAAAAGATAAACAGGGGAACGTTTGAAACTTCTTAGAGACTGATTAAGTGGTTGTGACCAAAATACTGATAGAAATAGGGACAGTAAAGGCCAGGCTGGTGAGGTCTCAGGTGGAAATGAGGCCAGGCTGCCCCTCCCATGGCAGGCCCAGAGGCCTAGGAGCACTGAATGGTTTGGGGACCCTGGGGGGCCACCATCTTGTGCTGCCTTGGGAGGCCGCTGCCTGCTTCCCCGCTGCTCTGGTTCCAGCTACGGGTCAAAGGGCCCGAGGCGTAGCTCAGGCGGCTGCTCTGGAGGACGTAAGCCATAAGCCTTGGCGGTGTCCACGCGGTGCAAAGTCTGCAGGCACGTAGAATGTGGGAGTGGTGGAGGCTTGATGGCTTCCACCTGGATTTCAGAGGACGTATGGGAAAACCTGGGTTCCCAGGGAAAGGCCTGCCTCAGGCATGAAGCCCCCGCAGAGAGACTCTACTAGGGTGGGGCTGAGGGGAAATGTGGGGTTGGAGCCCCCACACAGAGTCCCCACCAGGGCACTGCCTAGTGGAGCTGTGGGAAGGAATCCACCGCCCTCTAGCCCCCAGAATGGTGCAGCCACCGGCAGCATACGCCCTCAACCTGGCAAAGCCGCAGGCACCGGACTCCGATCCTTGAGAGCAGCTGCGCGGGCTGTGCCCAGCAAAGCCATGGGGGCGGGGCTGCCCAAGGCTTTAGGGGCCCACTCCTTGCACCAGTGTCCCTAGGTTGCAGGACATGGAGTGTCTTTCTTTTGGCTGATTTCTCCCTTTTGGAATGGGAATGTTTACCCAATGCCTGTAGCAACATTGTATCTTGGAAATAAATAACTCATTTTTGGCCCCTGGTTGGCAAGAACTTGCCTTGTGTCTCAGGTGAGACTTTGGACTTTTGAGCTGTTGCTGGAAGGAGTTACACCAGGACTCACCATTCCTCCTTACTTGTACACATTCCTTAACCGCTTATAAAAGCCCTTACTCTCCATTAGTCGGGAGACAGATTTGAGGATAACATCATCTGTATTAAAAATTCCTTTCTTCCTTGGCAATCCTTGTCTCAGTAATTGGCTTTCTGTGCAGTGAGTAACAGGACCTAGGGCAGGTGGATTTTGATAGCAACGTATCTCTTGGAAAAATAAGTACCCTTACTGTGTTTATCTTTTAATTTTAATTATTAAATAAATTTAATCTTTTAATTTTTTGCCTTTTTCCAAATAACATTTCATCGACAAGGAATAAATGGAAAAAACTCACCACTTTATGTATCACATTTACAAATATTATCCTGTTCCTTTCTAGTCCTAGAATATAATAGTCCCCCCTTATCTGTGGAGGTTATGTTCAAGACCCCTAGTGGATGCCTGGAACTGCAGGTATATACTATGTGTGAATTTTTTTCCTTTTTCACAATTTTACAGGTAGAAGATTCATTCTTACCATAGATCTTAGCAAACTCAGCATACAAATTTTTTTCTTTCCTTAAGTCGAGAACCTATGCTTTGTCACTTAAAGAAATCTCTTTACACCTTCTCTTCGGCATATCTGAATTGCCAGCCTCGCTATTCTTGCGCTTTGGGGCCATTATTAAGTAAAATAAAGGTTCACTGACACAAGTGTGACAGTTGATCTGATAACCAAGACAGCTACTAAGTGACTAATGGGTGAGTACTGCAGACAGCGTGGATATGTTGGACAAGGGGATGACTCACAGCCCAGGAGGGAGAGGGATGGCAAAATATTTCATTACTCCACTCGGAATGGTGTGTAATTGAAAACCTAGCAATTGTTTATTTCTGGAATTTTCCATTTAACATGTTTGGACTGCAGTTGAATGCTGGTAACTGAAACTACAAAAGGCAAAACTGTAGACAAGGGGGTATCACTATACTGCATGGATAAATATTTTAACTGGTTATGTTTACGCTTTGCATACTCTTTGTTTTCTGCTTCTTTTAAATACCATGTGTCTACTTTATGTCTGTAGAAAATCTGTGTGAGATTTTTCAGGTAGGAGGGTGCTGGGGGTTCTAGTTCAAGACAGTGAACTAAAACACCAGGATTCCTCCCTCTGTAAATTCCAGGGCAGCAGTGGAAGTGGGGAAGGAGGCATCAGTGCACCAGCACCTTCCAGTAAATGTCTAGAAGATTGAAAACAGATAGGATTGGAATGGTGAAAAACTAATCAAAGCAACTTACAATGGGACAGAGGCAAAGGAAAGAGGCTCTGAAATGCAAGGGGCTCATTTTCTACCAAAGCCAGGGACAGCGAGAGCTGCTGTTGGAGGAAGAGGTAGGCTCTAGAAGTTGATTTATTTTTTGGAAGGTGGGGGGCAATGTGGAGTATCTGAAAACATTTTAAATATGTTTTAAGCATTTTGTCCAACAGAAATGCCAGCACAGATATAAAAAAATTAATGCACAAAGCTTTTCATTAAAGCATTATTTTGTTATATGGAAGAGCTCAAAAAACACAACAAAACAAGAACAATCCTTAAATGTCTAGCAATCCGGTTTATTACGTAAGTCCCAAAATCTGTATATAAGGGAATACTATGCAGTCATTTTAAAGAATTAGATCAATCATTCCTGACAAGGAAAGATGTCCATAATACACTGCTATCTTAATTCATTTGGGCTGCTAAAACTAAATACCCTAAACTAGGTAACTTATAAACAACAGAAATCTATTTCTCACTTTTATTTCTTGGACAGGAAAGTCTAAGATCAAGGTGCCAGTAGATTTGGTGTCTGGTGAAGGTCCATTTCCTGGTTAATGGTTGGCCTTCTAACTGTGTCCTCACATGATGGAAGGGGTGAACTAGATCTCTGGGGCCTCTTTTATAAACTCACCAGTCTCATTCATGAAGGCTCCATCCTCATGATCTAATCATCTCCTAAAGGCCCCATCTCCTTATACCATCACATTAGTGATTGAGTTTCAACATACTAACTTTGGGGCAACAAAAACATTCTGATCATAACAACTGCCAGGTAAAAAACATTAAGGAAGGCCGGGTGTGGCAGCTCACGCCTGTAATCCTAGCACTCTGGGAGGCTAAGCCGGGAGAATCACTTGAGCTCGGGAGTTCGAGACCAGCCTGAGAAAGAGCAAAACCCCGTCTCTACTAAAAAAAAAAATAGAAAGAAATTAGCTGGACAACTAAAAATAGAAAAAAATTAGCCAGGCGTGGTGGTGCGCACCTGTAGTCCCAGCTACTCAGGAGGCTGAGGAAGCAGGATTGCTTGAGCCCAGGAATTTGAGGTTGCTGTGAGCTAGACTGACGCCATGGTATTCTAGCCCAGGCAACTGAGTGGTTCTCTGTCTCAAAAAACAAAAAAAAAAAAGAAGAAGAAGAAAAACATTCAAGAAGAGATAAGACTGTCCCTATTCACAGGAAATGTAATCGTCCAGTAGATTTTCAACTAACGAACCATTAGGATTAATGAGAAAGTATAGCGAGGGGGTCAGATACAAAATTAATACATATAAACCAATAGTTTTCCTATACATTGACAATAACCAATTAGAAAATATAATAGAAAAAGGATTCCAATTTTTCCTGAAAAAAAAATGGAGACGTACACTAGATTCCTGAAAAGCAATACTTAATATTAAAAAGATAACGATTATTCCCAAATTAATCTATATAGTCAATGTAATTCTGATGGGATTTTTCAATGGAATTTGACAAGATGATTCCAAAATACTTTTGGAAGAGCAAATGCCCAAAAAGAACTAGGAATAATATGTCGAAAAAGAGTAAGGAGGTAACCTGACTGTCAAATGTTTAAAAAAAAAGAAAAAAAAATAAGGAAGGCAGAAATTGTTTTATCATATATTAAATATATAAAGCTATAGAAATTAAGATAATGTGATATTGATATAGGAAAATACCAAGCCATTCACAAAAATAAAGTCCATGTTGATTAAGGTGCTAAAAGTAAATAATAAAATCCTATAAGTTTTAGAAGAAAATATAGGAAAACATGCTTATAATCTTGATTTGGGTACTGGATTCTTAAATAAACCACAAAATATAAGAATAACAAGGAAAATATTTATTTACATCAAAATTTAAAATTGCATATGACAAAAAACTACCACAAGCAAATGTAAAAGATGAAAGACAAACTGGGAGGAAAATTTTATAACATATACAATATTCAAAGAAGTATTATAGATATGTTAAGAGCTGAAGGAAGGACGAAAAGAAAACACAACCCAATGGAAAAATGGTTAAAAGATGTGAACACTTGTTTGCTTAATCCAAAGAAGATATTCAAATGACCAAAAAAACATGTCCTATTAACAAGAAGCTCAACCTCACTAGTAATCAAGGACTACTAAATAAAATAATAAGATACAGTATAAGTTCCACCTACCAGACTCTCAAAAATTTAGAAGAGTGACAAGATCAAATACTGGGAGGGGCAGAAAAAGGGTAGTCTCAACAACCCTTTTGGTGAAAACAGACATTGGGTCAGCTCTTTAGGAAGGTGATGATCAAAATGTGGAACTTTTCACCCAGCAATGCTACTTTCTTGGTATCTGTCTTAGAGAAATACTCAGATGTGTATACAAAGAGGAGGATGCTTACTGTAACACTGTGGAAGTGAAAATCTGGGAATGGCTTTATGCATTAATTGGGGAATCTTTAATAAGTAATTGTACATCCATACCAGGTACTATGATGCAACAATTAAAAAGAATGAGGAGGATCTGTATTTACTGACCTGGTAAAATTTCCAAGGCATATTGTTAAGTGAAAAGCAAGCAGAACAACATATTCAATGTGATACCATTCAGGGAAACAACGACGAACAAAAAGGGCCAAAGTATTCTCCATACTTCTATATGAATGTAAATGCTCAGAAAAAGATTTGGAAAGATACATACCAGCATGAGAATAGTGGTGACCTCTGAAATTGGGCGTAATAGTCAAAAGAAAACATTGTTTGATTTACATTTTTTGACTTTTTAAAGATAAGACTATGTTCACATCAGAATCTGGGCTGGGAAGAAAAATAAGACTATGTTTATGTATTCATTACACCATTGCACCACTAAAAGCTTAGCAATGAAATGGGAGTGCGGGGTATGATTCCATTTTTATTCTACACTCTTTCAATTCCCTTCTCTCACTCTCCCTTGAGCCCATTCCAGTCAGGCTTTCATCCCCACAGTTACACAGAAGCTGGTCCTATCCACATGCTAAATGTCACAGTCAGTTCTCAGCCCTCATCTTCCTGACCTCTAAGTAGCATTTGACCCAGTTGATCGCTCCCTCCTCCTTGAGACCCTTTTTAGCATCTAAGGACACTTGCCTGGTTTTCCTTCTATATCATTGGATGCTTTTCCTCAGTCTCCTCCTCATGTCCCCAACTTAACAGTGGAGAACTGCAGGGCTCAATCCTTGGGCCCTTTCCCCTTTACCAGCTTTTCTCAGCAGCCAGCAGTCATTAAAATAGAAGGTGGATTGTGTTACTCTTCTGCACAAATCCTCCGGTGACTTCCCACTTCACTCCCGGTGAGAAAGATTTGCTTCTCATTATCTCTTCGACCTCATCCCCTAGGATTCTCCTCCTTGCTTATTCCACTGCAGCCACAGTGGCCTCTTCTGTTCTAGAAAGAGGCAGTTGCTGTTTCCTTTGCCTGGAACACTCTTGCCTTGAGATCGCTGTGGCTCATTCCCTCACTTCCTTCAGGTCTTTGCTCAAATATCTCCGTTCTCAGTGACGATTTCCCTGGGCACCCTGTGTAAGCTGGCAGCCCTCCCACCCTCACACTGTCCATCGTCTTCCCTGCTTTACTTTTCTGCTCAGCACTTACACCCTCTGATGTATTATATATTTACTTATTTTGTGTATTATCTATCTCACCATCACCTCCACCTCCCACCTTTAATATCATTGAGACATTGGTTTTGTTCACTGCAGGTTCCCTAGAACAGGGGTTGGCCTATGACAGTTGTTTGGCAAATGGTAGGTGCTCAATAAGTATGTGATGAATAAGTGACATAACATAAAACTTGAATATAAAATTTGAAAAGGGGCTGGGCATGGTGGCTCATGCCTGTAATGCCAGGACCTTAGAAGACTGAGGCAGAAGGATTGCTGGAGCCAGGAGTTTGAGACTAGCATGGGTAACACAGTGGATCCTGTCTCTACAAAAAATAAAAACATTAGCCAGGCATGGTGGTGAGCACCTGTAGCCCAGCTACTCAGGAGGCTGAGGCAGGAGGATTGCTTGAGCCCAGGAGTCTGAGGCTGCAGTGAGCTGTGATTGTGCCACTGTAATCCAGCCTAGGTTACAGAGTGAGACCCTGTCTCAAAAAAAAAAAACAAAAAAAAACTGAAAGGCACTATACTAGGATAAATTAAAATTTTAATTTTTTTTTTAGCATATCCAAGGTATTAAAAATTTTTACATTATCTACCTCTTAATGGTTTGACATTTTAAAAACAGTGTGCACGTTACTTCTATAATAAAAAATAAAGATGTGTATCAAAAATATAATGTCAGATTATTTCTTGATGTGAACATAAATGCTACCATTTATTGAATACTAAATGCCAAGGAGTTTAAATATTTGATCTCATTTTGATCTTCATAACAATCCTGTGACAGTATGATTATTACCAAGAGATGAAGAAACTGAGACTCAATGAGGTTTAAGCAACTTGCCCAACATCACACTGTTAGTTTGTGCCAGGACCAGGATTCAAACCTAACTCTATTGACCTTCAACACCTGTGATATTGCCAACACGCAATCCCACCTCCCAGCAAAGCTAAGAAATCAAACTACTCACTTGCAGGCTTTTTACTGGACAATTGTTGAAGCCAACTTTCTTCTGTTTGTACTGATATTGGAATTCCTGGATACAAACCGTGATAGATACTTCTGAAATTTAGACAAAATGTTAGTTTTGAGAGTATACCAATATAGTTGTTAGCAGGTCTTCTAAATATAGTACATTTAACAATCAAATAAATACATTAATACATAGAAGATCCTGATTCTATTTTCTTTGAAATATTTTCTTCCATTCTTATCTCTTCAGTAAATTTAGGCAGAGTGTATTAACATCAAACCTGTTCTTTGGAAAGAATTCCTTTCTAAATCCCAGTGGCTTCCAATACCGTATTATCTCCCTCAGAGAGTAAATTACTACCACTATATCTGTACATTTGTGATGGTGGTATTGGTGTATACATTTAAACATTTACTTGAATTTAAATTAGAATAAATTGTTCATTATCAATAGCTTCAAAATAATCTAAACTCTTTTTAAAGGGCTGATGTTAAATGCATTGTCATTAAACAGTCTGTATTTTTTCAGGGTAGTTTAATCAGTTATTTATCAGTGATGTGATAGCGAGGCAGGAATTTATTGACTTTTACTAGTACTAGTTAAAATAACGCTTACTGGTAACAATAAAACGATATTGCTTTTAAAACTCCTTGGTCTCTTTGAATTTCAATTTTCTAAAAATAATGTGCTGGATCTTCCAAAATTATGAGACAATATTTTTTCAAACAATTTAGTTAACTTTTGGATTGTCACTTTTCCAACTTTCTTAGTTCTCTTACATCTCCATCTTTCTTTTTGATGCTTTATTCCTTGGCTCGTTGCATCTGTGGAGTGTTTTTGTTTTTGTAATTCTGAAATGACTGTGTCCTGTAATAGGTGAGGAACTCTTCTGTGGAGGACACCTGTGCAGGTCTCTTAGGGAGCCCTATTTACCTAACTTCCCAGAGAAACAAGTTAGAGAGACTATGAGCAAAGGATCATTAAAGAGAAATCCCTAGGCTACCTTTACTGGTTCCCCCACCCCCAATCCAATGGCTAACAACAACAATATTCATTTAGGTCCTTTGCCTTCCTTAAACCAACACCAAAGATTATTTATAAAATTCTGTGTAAATATGAGAGATGGAGGACAATGACAAAATTAAAATTAACTGAGAACTTACTGTATAGTAGTACATATATAGTAGTTGCTTTACTCACATTATTTCATTTATCTTTACAAAAAACAATCAAGGCAGGTATTAGTATTCCATTTTTCCAGTTAAGGAAACTGAGGCTTATGAAGGTTAGGGAACCTCTCAAAAACCACAAGGGATTCCTGTTTGGCTCTAAAACTTGTGTTTTTCCACATTCATCTGCTTCCTAAAGTTTGCCCTATTTTCAATAGGAATACTAATAAGGCAATTAAAAATAGAAGTTGAGCCAAAATGGGTTGCATTTTTTGTGAAATTTTAGGACTTTCTAAAAAAATCACTCATAATCTCATCAAATTTACCAGAGAATGCTTTGACATGTAAAAGACATCTTTTTAGGAAGATTTATAAGAGAAATTAAGAATTTGATCTAGGAAAGAGAGGTTCCCATGGATTGAAAATCATACGACAGGAATTCAGGTCAAGATGGCAGCTCAGTACACAATTTTCCTTCTCTTCCTTTCCAAGTTCTTACTGAAATAACAGACACTTTAAACAAACAAACAAACAAACAAACAGAAACTAGCTCTGGAAAAAAGAAAGGTTAATAGACAAGTCACACTAAAAAGAAAAGAGAAAAATGATTATAGGTTGATGTAAAGCCAGAGCAGAGAGAGGTAAGGTTCTTCCAAAGGGAATCCTGAGAAGCTTCTAGCTGGACCAACCAAACAGAGAGAGAGAAAAGACCTGGGGGCTGGCATCGGGGTAGTTTAAGGAGTGAATTTTGAACAGCTGGCCAGACAGGCCCCTTCCTCTCCCCTTACACAGAGCAGTTGGCAGCAGTTGTTTTTATTTCCAGATGAAGTCCAAAGAATTGCCTTCTAAAAATAGTGGGCAACTTGCCTGGGGAGATTTTAGCCCTGAAAGGGAAGTAGAGCAGAGTATGAATGTACTCAGGACTTTCCCAACAGGCTTGGTTGAGAAAAGAGGAAGTGACATTCCTTCCATAAAGAACTCCAATGATACAGTAAAGTGTCCTTGCCTTACCTCTAGTAACAGTGGGTTACCTGGCTTGACTGCTCCCTGCCCAGACACTGCAGGAAGTGGACTCTGATACTCCCCACCCACCTGCACAGGGATCAGAGTAAAGCCTCCCATGCAAGCCATATGGAAGATTCCATTCAAGCTACCTACCCATCATCCATTTATAAATATAAATGGATAACCAAGGATTACCAGTCACTGAAGGACAATCAATAACATAGAAGAGAAAGATCAAGATAAACAGAATGACGCTGAAACAAAAAAGGAATACAAAGAACAAAAGAGACCTTTAACACATTGTAATAGTGCCCTCAAAGAGATAAAAATAAAAAAAAATTATTTTGAACAGCAACAATCAGAGAACAAGAACTGGTTCTTGGAAATTACAAACATGAATCCCCCAAATAAAAAATTCTGTACAAGGGCTGTATAGTAGCATGCAAACATCAAAAACCTTGAAGATACTGAAAATCTGAAGGAAAAGTTGTGAAAGATGGGTAATCTATCTAAGAGGTCCAATAACCTCTAGGAGAGGTACTGAAGAAAAGAATAGAGACAATGAAGGGGAGGAAATAATCAAATACCAGAAGGATTTGTGAATCAGACCAATCAGCAGTGCCGGATACTACGAGGCAATGAAGCAGTGTCTTCAGAGCTCTGAGGGAAAATGGTTTTAATCTATTCTTTTATGCCAGGTTACATTATTAATAAATAAAGTATAAGGGCAAAATGAAGAAATTTCTAGGCAGGCAAAAACTCAGAAATTTGACTACCCATGAGACCTACATAGAAAAATTACCTGAGGAGTTTTTCTAGAAAAAGGAAAAGGAATAAAAGAAAAAAGGCAATACAGGAATCAAGAAAGTGTGCCCTTTGGGCCCAACACAGAAAAATTGGAGACAACTAAAAACAACTGAGAGTTGAAAAGTTCACTTTTTAGGAGACAAGTTTTATGGACATAGGATTACATTTTCTTGTCCATGGATCCAATCACATTACTGGTTTCTTAACATGGAATTGTATTATTTATCAGTTTTCGGTTTTTAGAAGCAACCTGTACCCAAAGCACCTTAATTATAAATAACAAACCATAATACAAACATACTAAAATTTGGCAAAGTAATATAACTTTTTGTGAATATGTATATTTTAATATAATTTGTTATATAATGTATATAAATTCTGTTAATTGGGAGAGAAGTAAGAGGAAAGATGGAAGGAAGCACAAGTACATTAACATGTTACTTTTTCATAATACAGTCAATTGATGCTTACTAAAATTGACAAATCAAAAGTAGAGGTTTGAATACTTTTAAGTATTAAATGTTAAAAAAACTAAAAATAATACAAATACCAAAATGGAAAGGTGGAAAGTCAATAGTTATGTCAGAAATTGATAAATCAAATAAGTTTAAATGTTATTTAAACTTATAATGGAAACAAAATTGAAACTTAACCGTATGTTAACTCTGGTGAATGGCAGTAGATGTGAAGGGCATGGAGAGTTTCAATTTTATACCTTTGTGTACTTTGTTTTTTAACATGTGCATATATTTTTTAATTAAAAAGTTGAATTAAAAGGATAAATAAAAACATGTAAGTAGGACAGAACAATTTTCTTTACACTTAAGAATTTAAAAGTTGCTTATAAAAGTAAAGTTAGGGTAAAGAGTAATTCAAGATTGCTAGCTGAGTGCAGCTAGCACTCTGGGAGGCCAAGGCTGGAGGATCACTTGAGGTCAGGAGTTCGAGACCAGCTTGAGCAAAAGCAAGACCTCCATCTCTACTAAAATAGAAAAAATTAGCCGGGCGTGGTGGCCTGCGCCTGTAGTCCCAGCTACTTGGGAGGCTGAGGCAGGAGGATCACTTGAGGTTGCTGTGAGATAGGCTGACCCCATGGCACTCTAGTCTGGGCAACAGAGGGAGACTGTGTCTCAAAAAAACAAAAAAAGAAAGATTGTGGATTCAGCTTTGCTGTGAGATTTCAGGAAAGATTTACAAAGATGTTCCAAAAGATGTTTCTCTGGTATCTTCCTATTGTAGTTAAAGCACTTGAAGGCTAATAGCAATAACAAGAAAAAGAAGAGAGGAAAAAGAGGCCGGAATTTCCACTCTCTTCCACCAAGGTATCCTTGGACACTCTTGCATTTAGCCAATAGAGGTCTATTTCTAAACTTTCATAGCACTTAACTATTGTACACATGGCATGTATGTATTATTTTTTATGTAACATTGATAAGTGGGCATGTCATTTCTACAGCTAGAATAAGCTGGAGATAGGGAACTTGTCCTCATCTCTTCCAAAGCATCTACCAGTATAGATTTTTTAAAAAACCTTTTGAATAGATAAGTTGTAAATGCCCTAGATTATTTTGCTTTACTTTCTAACATGTTTATCCAAAAGGCAAACATTATCAACTTCATAAAATAATCATATGAAAATCAAAAACATTTTCTTACCTATCTAAATTTATTTCAGACATGTCTTGCCTAAATGTCTGAAATATTTTAGGAAAACCTGTTGAATGAAACATTTAAAAATAAGCCACTCTCTCTGTATCAGTGGTGCTCTAAAGGGCAATTTTGCTGCCAGGGACAACTGGCAATGTCTGGAGACATTTTTGATCATCACAAGGGTGTGTGCTACTAGCATAGCCAGAGATAGAGGGCAGGGATGCTGCTAATCATGCTAAAATACACAGGACAGTCCTCCCAACAAAGAATTATCCAGACCAAAATGTTAATACTGGAAGCTTGAGAAAACCTTCTCTGAATAACTGCTCTGCCTGTCTTTTAAAGGAAGTGATTGAAGTGGTTTCAGCACAGAAAGTTAAACACACACAAGGGAGTTTAGTAGCATAGCACCCTTCAGACACTTGTTCTCCAGGAGTAACAAGAGCGTGTGCGTGTGTGTGTGAGAGAGAGGAGAGAGAGAGAGAAAAAAGAGAGAGGAGAGAGAGAGAGAAAAAAGAGAGAGGAGAGAGAACACCACCACGAATGCACGCAGGAGTGTTATAAAAATGAACACTGGCTGGGCGCGGTGGCTCGCGCCTGTAATCCTAGAACTCTGGGAGGCCGGGGCGAGAGGATTGCTTGAGCGCAGGACTCTATCCAGGGCGACAGAAGGAGACCCTGTCTAAAAAACCAAACAAAAAACCCGCTACACTCCATACAGCACTGCTCAAGTTTCACCTTTTACTAAGGGTTTCACCTATACCCTAAATTGTGAATCATCACAACAGCGCAGCCAAGAGTTCAGCGCCTTTGACAGAAGAGAGTGACACAGACTGCGGGTGTGTGGAGTGGTTCGAGCACTTAGAAACCGGACACCCAGGCAAACGAAGGCTCGGGGGCGGGGAGACCAGCTGCCCCCTACGGACAGAAAAGCCCTTGGGGAAGAGGTGGGCCCGCGGTGGTACTTTTATGGGAGGAGGTGCTCGAGGGTGGGCTCTCTCTCAGCGTCTGGGTGCTCGTCTCGCTCTGTGTCTCGCTGGCCCTCGGCGGCGTCGGGCTCAGGCTGGGGCTGACGACGCTGGTTAAGCGGGCTCGGACCCCTACCGAGTCGTCCTCATTGCCGTCACCTAGGTCCATGTCCTTCCACAAGTACTCATAGAACAACTCGGGGTCCTTGGGCCTCGTCGACCCTTTCACCGCCACCACCTCTTTTTTCTCTTCCTCCTCCTCTTCTTCCTCCTCCTCCTCCTCTTCCTCTTCAACCTCCACCTCCTCCATCTCTAACCCCTCCTCCAACTCCTTCCGGCCCTCCTCCTTCCCTTCCAGCTCTCTGGAGCTGCGACGTGAGTGCAAGTTGGCCATGGCTGGCGGGAAGTGTGATCAAGGCCGGCGCCGAGGCAGCCACGACCTGCCGGGAGCTGCGGGCGTGCGCCGCTGTTGCTCGTCCGTCTCCCGGGGCAACGGCCTGCCTTGGGGGCTGCCAGCCGCCCAGATTTAAAGCGGCAGGACCCCTTTAGCCGGGTAGAATGTGGCTGCTGGGAGAGGGGTGTTACGGCCGGGGCTGCAGAGTTCTTTCCATCGGCGTTCTGCCAGGTGTCCGAGACCCCGGCAGCCTGTGGCGAAATGATCACCCGTTCATTTCTCAGCCTATTTGGAGCCAGTCTTTTTTTTTTTTATTTTCAGTGTCTTCTAGCGATGGACACCCACAATGCCACTTGGTATTGCGGATGCTGGAGTTTGTTTTTTGAGCAGACACATACTTATTGGAACTTACAGTGAAACTTTATTTGCAAAATAGGCGCCAGCCTTGGGCCCTAGTTTGCTGATTTGCTATATTAAAAAATTGCCTTAAATATAATTAGCATGTGCAATTGAGTTAAATATTAATTGCCTTAAAATGTTTAGATTAATATTAATTAACCTTGATCAGTGAGAGTTTTGGTGTCCTTAAATTTTGCACCCCGTTGTAGTCTGGCTCCTGCTTGTTGCTTGTTCCGTCTGTCCATCTGGGAGGTGGAAAAGGCCTGAGGCATCTGCCCTCCTAGGTACCACCTGCATCTTTTTGAGACTTTGTTTTCAGTTCATTGTTCTTACTTAAATTTTTGTAAAATATTTTGTATACACACAAAAAGGTATACAGAATAATACTGCTGACATGCGGTTGACTGATCCTTACATTATTAGGTGACCAAGGTTACATCTAGAAGTCTCTTTGTATGATTTCAGCTAAATCACTTGATCTCTTTCAGCCAGAGTTTCCCTGGCTGTAAATTGGTAATAATAATACATACCCCTAAGACGTTTGTGGATATCGATGAAAGTAAAATGGCTGCCTACAGTTATCAACATATTTCGTCCAAAGACCAGCAGGAACAAACTTGTAGTGAAATAAGTTGGCTTTATTATTAATACTTGTTGCAGCAAAGTGTCTCAGTAAGAGGATGTTAGAAAGATCCTATTACAGGATTTAGGCTTAGGTTGATGATTTGGGAGTGGATCTAAGGAAGCAGGGTTTCTGTCAGAGAGCAGGGCAATTCTTTGATGCGGTATTTTGTGGTGGCATAGTAATCTCATTTTTGTCTGTGCTTAGACAAAACTATGAGGTGGCCTTGTTTTGTTTCATTTTATCTTGATGTCAGAGTAACCTTGTGTGAGGTTGTTATTCCTTGAGAAGGTCTCTGTCCAACAGGAGAACAAAATGGCCTGGCTGTGAGTACTAGACCAGCTTGTAGCAATATTGGGGTCTAGCTGTGAATAACATATCAGAACCTCCCAGCCATGAGCTTTCCAGCCCAGGGGACTTGTACTAACAGGGCTCTAAAGGAAGCAGGAAGTGAGATGTTAGGTGTCTAGACTCACAAAGCAATGTTTTATGACTGTCAAATCAAACACATATTGATTGAACACTACCATGAGCCACCCCTCTGCTGGTGCTGGGCCATAGCAGTGGATAGGAGAGGCATGGTCCCTGTCCTCATTAACTGGCAACAGCACCAGAGCATCTGGCTGGAGTCCAGCAAGCTATCAGGCACAAGGGCAGAACAAGGGAGGTGACAAGCCCAAAACTGCCCCTGTACTCCAGCGAGTCAGAGAGAAAATTCACAGAATATTTTTGAAAGAAGGAGAGATCTTGCAGGCTAGAGGAGCAGGAGGCACAGATGAAGGGACATTTGAGTTGCTCTGGAAGGAAGAGTAAAACGTGGGTGGCTGGAGAGAGGAGTGAAAGGCATTCCAGCAGGCTCAGGGCAGGAAAGGAGGTGCCAGCACAGGAAACTGTGTGTACACATGTTGAGGAACAAATAAGATAAGTGGAATTACAAAAAAATAATAAAGAAAGAAAAAGCCCATTCCTTTTCTGGGCAATAAGAGCATTTTGGAATTCAGCCAGGTACTTCTTTGTAGGGGAAGGGACTTGTTCAAGAGTATTTCTGTTTGCAGGGTCCTGAGAGAGCAGGCTGAACATCAGGATGTGGGTGGGATGGGGGCTAGCAGAGAGCAAGGCTAACAGTGTTTGTGCTTACTCTCAGTTGCCTGCTCCTAGCTCCATTCTCTGAGTGCTGTGGAATTTTCTTAGTTACATGATGAATTAATTTGTTAAAGTACTCTTTGTTTTGAACCTTTGTTTAAGGCCTTTTTGAAAATCCTGGGGAATCTCCTTCTCTTGGATCCACTTACTCCACAAAGAACAGTGTCTTATTTCCCCAGAAGGGGACATCACTCTGTTGTTTGGGCCATTCAGAGACAGAACAATGCCAGGCCACTTTGTATTCTTCCCTGCCCCATTCCCAGTGTCTAGGTGGAGTCCAGGGCTTGAGATTTGAGACCCAGGCACCACCCTTGACTGTGTGATTTTGAGGTTATTGAGCCTAAGTTCCTTGATATGTAAAATGGAAATATCAGTACATTTTCACTTACTTCACAGGGCTCTTTGGAGGTAAAATTTAATTATTATTTTATTCTCTTTTTGAGAACTGATCTTGTATTTTATTTTATTTTTTTAGGACACATAATTCTGTTCTGTTTAGAAAACAATGTTCACTTCTATGATCTACAAAATAATGTCTCTGTAAAAATTTCAGAGGTAAGTAGATTTTTTTTAAAAAGTTTCCTACCCCAAGTATATAATATATAATTGTTCTGTTGTCATTACTTGATGTTCTGTTTCCTTTTTCTTTTAACTGACACATAAAAATTGCACATATTTATGGAGTATAAGGTGATGTACAGGGTATTTAGCATATCCGTCGCCACATACACCTATGATTTCTTTGTGGTGAGAACATTCAAAATCCTTTCTTCTAGCTATTTTGAAATATACAATATTGTTAACCATAGTCACCCTAATGTGCAATAGAACATCAGAACTTATTCCTCCTGTGTAACTGTAGCTTTGTACCCACTAATACCTCTCCCTATCCCTCTCACCTTCCCGTCCCTAGCCTCTGATAAACACTGTTCTTCTCTCTACTTCTATAAAATCAGCTTCTTTAGATTCCACGTAGGAGTGAGATCATGTGGTATTTGTCTTTCTGTGCCTGGCTTATTTCACTCAGCATAATGCCCTCCAGGTTCCTCTATGTTGCCATAAATGACAGGATTTCATTCTTTTTTATGACCGAATAGTATTCTGTTGTATATATGCCCACATTTTCTTTGTCCATTCATCTGTTGATAGACACTTAGGTTGATTCGCTATCTTGGCTATTGTGAATAGTGCTGCAATAAACATAAAACCGCAAGTATCTTTTCAACATACTGATTTCATTTCCTTTGGATCTATACTCAGTAATGGAATCACTGGATCAAATGGTGTTCTATTTTTAACTTTTTGAGGAAACTCCATACTGTTTTCTGTAATGGCTATACTAATTTACATTATCACTAGTAGTGTATAAGAGTTTCCCTTTGTCCACATTGTGCCATCATTTGTTATTTTTTGTCTTTTTGATAATAGCCATTCTAATTAGAGATGACAGTTCATTGTGGTTTTGATTTGCATTTCTCCGATGATTACTGATACTGAACAGTTTTTCACATATCTGTTTGCCATTTGTGTGTCTTCTTTTGAAAAATGTCTAAGATATTTTGCCCATTTTTAAATTGGATTATTTGTTTTCTTGCTATTGAGTTTTTTGAGTTCCTTATATATGCTGGATATTAACCCCTTGCAGATGCATAGTTTGCAAATATTTTTCTCCCATTCTATAGGCTGTCTCTTCACTCTGTTGATTGTTTCCTTTGCTGTACAGAAGCTTTTTAGTTAATGTAATCCCATATGTCTCTTTTTGCTTTTGTTGCCTGTGCTTTTGGGGTCTTATTCAAAAAGTCCTTGCCCAGACAAATGTCATGAAGCATTTCCTGTACGTTTTTGTCTAGTATTTTTATCATTTTAGGTCTTACATTTAAGTGTTGAATCCATTTTGATTTGATTTTTGTATATGGTAAGAGATAGGGGTCTAGCTTTATTCTTCTGCATGTGAATATCCAGTTTTCCCAACACCATTGATTGAAGAGACTGTCTTTTCTCCATTGTGTGTTCTTGGCACTTTTGTTGAATATCAGTTGGTTGTATGTATGTGGATTTATTTCTGTGTTTTCTATTCTGTTCCATGGGTCTGTGTGTCTGTTTTTATGCCAGTACCATGCTATTTTGGTTACTATAGCTTTGTAATATATTTTGAAGTCAAGTAATGTGATGCCTCTAGCTTTGTTTGATTTTGTTTATTTGTTTCTCTTTCTATGTACCATTTCCCTTTAAAGACTGCCACGAATACCACCACTTTGAGAAAGGGAGGAGAGTGAATTTCTGTCCAGTTCAAACTTCTTATTTGCCTGCAGAATATTTCGAACGGGCTGTAGATAGCTCCCTAGTGTGTTCATGAAGAAAGCACAGTATCTCTTCAGCATGCTTTTGTTAAGCATTGCTCTGATTCACCGTGAAAGAACAATAGCAAAGAACTGCAGCCTTGATGATAGCTAATTAAGAATGTGTCTGGCCTGGTACGGTGGCTCACACCTGTAATCCTAGCACTCTGGGAGGCTGAGGTGGGAGGATTTCTTGAGTTCAGGAATTTGAGACCAGCCTAAGCAAGAGTGAAACCCTGTCTCTACAAAAAATAGAAAAATCAGCCAGGTGTGGTGGCAATGACCTGTAGTTCCAGCTACTTGGGAGGCTGAGGCAGGAGGCTTGCTAGAGGCCAGGAGTTCAAGGAGGTTGCAGTGAGCTATGATACACCACTGTACTCTAACCAAGGCAACAAAGCAAGAACGTGTATCAA